TGAGTTTAACGCGCGGGTGAAATACTAATTCATATATTTATATTTATATTTATATTTATATTTATATTTATATTTATATTTATATTTATATTTATATTTATATTTATTTTATCTTTATATTATATTTATATTTATCTTTCTATTTATATTTAGATTTATATTTATTTTATTTATATTTATATTTATATTTATCTTTTAGATTTATTTTATATTTATATTTTCTTTTATTTTATATTTCTATTTATATTTTCTTTCTCTTTATATTTTATATTTATCTTTCTATTTCTCTTTCTTTTATATTTCTATTTCTATTTCTATTCTCTTCTAGTTATATTCTTTTTTTTTATCTTTCTATTTATATTTCTTATCTTTCTCTTTCTATTTTATCTTTCTCTTTCTCTTTATCTTTCTCTTATCTTTCTATTTCTCTTTATATTTATATCTTTCTCTTTCTATTTCTGTTTATGTTTATATTTCTATTTCTATTTACTATTTCTTTCTCTTTATATTAATTATTTTAGTCATCTGCATAAATCCCATTATTTATTACTATTCATCAATTAACATTTATTTATTAACTATTAACTCTGAACTCTTAACTATTTAATTAATAACTATTAACTATTTAACCATTAACTATTACCTATTTAACTATTCTTAATTCACTATTTACTAATAATGATTCCCTATTTGCTAATATCTATTCACTATTTACTATTAACTATTCAGTTATCACTATTCACGATTCACTACTTTACTATTCAACTACTATTATATATCTTGATCAAAATGAACAAATCTTCAACAGAATGTTATTAATCATTTATCACCATAACCCTAGACAATATTAGAATACCCCGTATTCATATAGACGCTTCTCTCGCCCGATTTTTACGTTCAGAAGGAATACTTAAAGGGTCCTCCGCTCGACGTGGTGGCGCTGCTTTTGGCACTCAAATTAATGGCGCAAAATTTGAAATGAAAATTAATGAATTTTAATACACGGGTATTTGAAACTAAATTCGGTATTACAATCCTATTATGTTTTGTAATGATACAATAATAACAAAAATATACTAGATAATATTATATTATAATAAATATACAATCAAATCGAAATATAAATCAACAAATACACTGCAATACACCGGTTTATATATAATAGATATCACATCTAATCTACTGGAATAACTTCTACACTTTTTTCTACTTATTAATATAAATATTCAGTGAAATTTAGTGAATAATACATTATAGTGTTAGTTCATTACATCGTCTGTCATTCTTAACTCTCATTAACTAGTAATCATCCCGTGCAAAATTTGACATTCTTAAGCAATTCATTTTTTCCCAAGTATATTCAGATCCGCGTGAAGTGGTAATCCAATATTAAACAGCTGGAACAGCTTTTTATTTGTGTATTATGTGTTTCTTGTAGAAGCGTATATTTGATTTCTTACACAATTTCCTAGAACTGATCTCTTTCCTTAAAGTGTATTATGATTAGACTAATATGTCAATGCACTACGTAGTATTGTAGTAATTATGTCCTCCATATGAGTTTGAAGCTGTTCTATTCATATTGTCAAAGGGCTATGCATTTGAGAGCAATTCCTGATGAAATCTTTATGAACAAATATACAAACACAAACGAAGAAGAATCGCCATTTTGTAAACTTATACAAAAATAACACTGACGTTTCTTAGTAACCAATATAAAACATTTGAAAATACTTTTTCATCGGCTCACTAGCGCCAAATCTGCGACTACAAATGGACCCCTAAGTATTCCTTCTGAACGAGGATTTTGTTCTAAGTGAAAAGGCCCTGACCATAACACCATTTTGGTACAAAATTTGTAACATGCTTGACGTATTTATTGCGCATAGTCTTTATTGCGCATGCGTCAAATACGCGAGATGTTCATAAGACCGATCCAAGTACGCACGTACACCATTGTTTTAATTTGATTGTTTGAGAACACGCCACATTCACCTAGCGTTTTGGGGAATGTGCACATTTACCGGTGAATGTGCACATTCACCGAGAGTGCACATTTACCGTAACATATATAATAGATATCACATCTATTCTACTGCAATAACTTCTACACTCTTATCTACTTATTAATATAAATATTTATTGAAATTTAGTGAATAATGCATATAGTGTTAGTTCATTACATCGTCTGTCATTCTTAACTCTCATTAACTAATAATCATCCCGTGCAAAATTTGACATTCTTAAGCAATTCATTTTCTTCCAAGTATATTCAGATCCGTGTGAAGTGGTAATCCAATTTTAAACAGCTGGAACAGCTTTTTATTTGTGTATTATGTCTTTCTTGTAGAAGCGCATACTTGATTTCTTACACAATTTCTTAGAAGTGACCTCTTTCCTTAAAGTATATTATGATTAGACCAGTGATTCCCAAAGTGGTCCACATGGACCCCCAGGGGTCCATGGCAACTTTCAAGGGGTCCACGGCGGCAAAAACAAAATTTGGGGGTCCACGAAATGAAAATGGGGGTCCACGGCAGTGGATTACAATACACCATGTTAAAATCTATTTATTTACGTTAACGATAATATAATATATAGATTTACAATAAATGGTAATATTTTTGCTCTTAGAATTTATAATTACCAAATATAGAGGTTTAAATGGCAATTTAACGAAGTGTGATATAGATACCAATTATTTGGATTCGGTAAACTAAATTTTATTTGAATTTTAGTCCTCTCAGCAACGAATTTGGACTCAAGTGTTTTTGAACTAAACTTTTAGACATTTAAATTACACAGGTAATTTTGTGCTTTGGTGGACAGTAAATTACAGATTAGTTTATTTCTGGGTTGGTTATTGAAGAAAGTTGCTTATATGAAATGTTTACTGACAAATGTTATAGATTTGGTAGTGCTTAATGATGTTACTGATTATTATAGCAGTTCTACCGTTAGTTGTTCCATGTGGATTAATGTTGTAACTGGTTGCATAGCATCGTGCCTTAAGGCAAATTGCTGGAACTTCTTGTACCGTGAATTAAATTTTTTAAAAGACCTTTAAATTTGTTTGAAAACATAAAAAAAAGATTTTTGTGACTTTAAAATTTCTGAAAAAATTTGACTTTTTTGAAAAGTTTGATTTTTTTATATTTCGAAATTCTTTTGTATGTACTTTTAATTTTTCTGAAAATTTTGAACATTTTTGAAAACAATCGTGCTGCGTGGCTGTTTTAGAGAAAAAATATCAAAGCGCGTAAGCACCGCATCGCAGTCTAACGGATCAACATTGATACGGAGCCCATAGAAATGCCAACAAAGTTCATACTCATTATTAAAATCTCTATAAAATATCTGATAATTTGATATGCATTTGTCTAATGATCATTTTTGACTGCCAAATGGCATTTTTTTTACTTTTTTCACTCGATCTCTGAAACCGCTAGACCTGCCCTCGCAAAAATTATTATAATATATATGAAAATGTTCATTTTCGATTTTTTTGCGATTACTATAATTTACCCTACGGGGAGTTAAAAATCGAATATGCTTAATTTAAAAAAGTCTAAGTTAGTGAAGCGTATTTTCGAAAATAACATATGATCAATTTGATGATGTATTAAAAATAATTATAAAACCGCTATTTATTACTTAAGTTTTGAAACTAAATTCATTAATATATTTATCTCAGCGAAAGTCCATTTCAAATTCATATATTAAGCTCAATATATTAAGTTGAGCATAGGACGATCTGTTAATAGTATCACAAATAACAAATATATGTTACGTAGAAAAAATATACTATTTAAAAATACAATAAAAGAAAGTTTGTTCAAAAATATTTTTTCAAGTTACAATTGCGGACTTTTAGTAAGATTTTCAAATCGGTTATATGTTACAATCATCTTATATATATAATCAATTATATATTATATTTTTTAATATATATGTTTTTTTGCATTTGAGACTTCTATAAAACACTGTTTAATTTTCTTCATTTATGAAAAAATTATGAATTTAGTATTCGCCTTTGGAATTTTGTATTCAGCAATTTTCTCATTCATAACGTTTTATAAGAGATAAAAAACATATTTATTCACATAATTAATTTGGTAAGTAGTTGTAATTTAATTTTAATTAAGAAAAAAGAAAATTTTAATTAAGATTTAAACCTATACTTTTTAAAAATCCGGGACAAATATTGATTTTGAAAAAATCCGGGACAAATATTGATTTTGAAAAAACCCGGATCAAAAGATGGAAACCCGGAACCGTCCCGAATAAACCATAATATAGGGGGTCCATGACAAAACGAAAAATATCGCAAGGGGTCCACGGCACAAACAAGTTTGGGAACCTATGGATTAGACCAATATGTCAATGCACTACGTAGTAATGTAGTAATTATGTCCTCCATATGAGTTTGAAGCTGTTCTATTCAAAATACGGTCAAAGGGCTAAGCATTTGAGAGCAATTCCTAGTGAAATCTTTATTAACAATTTTTTTTTTTTTTATTTTTAAAGTTATTTATTTATTTATATATATACATTATTTTCATATCTCAGTCAGGCAGAGTTGCCTGGTATGAGAGATTATGAAAACAGTTATATACAAACACAAACGAACAAGAATCGCCATTTTGTAAACTTACACAAAAGTAACACTGACTTTTCTTAGTAACCAACATAAAATATTTGAAAATGCTTTTTCATCGGCTCACTAGCGCCAAATCTGCGACTACAAATAAACCCCTAAGTATTCCTTCTGAACAAGGATTTTGTTCTAAGTGAAAAGGCCCTGGGTGACAGTTCACATTGATAAGTGCATAGATAAAAGAAGAGTATTATATGGATTAGTGAATATTAAAACCATAGATAAAAGAAGAGTATGATATATATGATTAAAACCCATAGACCATGTATATAAGGTCTATGTTAAAACCATAGATAAAAGAAGAGGTTAAAACCTCAATGAACTGTCAAATGTCATAGTTTCTAATCAACAAACTCGAAATATTAATCAGTTTCTAATTATTGCTTTACATCTGTATTATTTTATTTGTTGAATGGACATTGATCATTCATAAAATAAATTGAACATTAATATAATTAATTCAATCATATAATTGTTTAATTATATGGTTGAAAACGGTTGTCATGAACATCAAATGGTACGTAAGAACCAAGCAGGAAAGTCGCCTAATAAAAATTCACGCAAGAATGATGTCGCGGATTCGTTTAAAGTGATAAGAGCCGATTCTGACGCTCAACCATCCGTGCACAAAAGAAATTTATATATAGTTTCCTTTCCCGTAATATTTTTGTTTAATATTCTTAGATTAGTATTATATGAACTGTATGTGATTCTTAAGTTTATATATACAAATTCAACGCAGTTTGTTTATAAGTCAAAAAATAAATGTGACTCTCATGAATTTGAAGTGATTGTTAATGACAATACTGTTATTGAACAAAAACACTTGGACGAAATGGCTACAAGTCACAAGAACACATTGACTGCTCCGGGGCCAGGGGATCCACTACTTGCAAAGCAGAAGCATCATCATCGTAGAGCTTTTGAATATATTTCTAAAGCATTGAAAATTGATGAAGAAAATGAAGGTTATTTCAATGTATTTTATAATCATTTGCATGGAAATTGTTTCTATATATATTCGAGAAATACGAACAAAATGACATTTTGTTTTGTTTTTTTAATTATATTCTTTTAAAACCAGTCTCAATCATTTTCACTCATCTTTGGTTTATTGACTACCAGTAAGAGGAACCATAATAATAAAATACTTATTAAGGACAAATGCAACCTATTACAAAAACCATTTTGCCTGTTTAGGTTGGACAATATTACATATAGGGTAAGAACTTACTAAAATGCTAATTTTTAAGAAACTAGTTTACAAATAAATCGTTTGGTCCTCTTTCAAGCATCAGCTCATGAAGTATGAACCTAAAGTGTACAAGTTATTCATCTTAACCAACGTTCATCAGCCTCAAAAGGCAAAAAAATTATTTTGCGATAAAAAAGCAAGCCTCTTCTTCTCACCGGTGGATCTTTTTGTCTGTTTTTAGAATTTTTTTTGTTGCATACTTGGAGTAGAAGTTAAAAGCCTTAAAGAAGTTAAATTACCTTTAAGAAATTTTAATTTTTTTTTCTTGTGCTATATTTCTAGTGCGATAGTACTATGTTATTTTGTTCATTGTACAAGTATATCATTTGTCTAAAATTGAACAAAAATGTATAATTATTCAAAATTTCACCAAATACCTGATTATTGCAATAAAGACCGAAATCACTAGTACTTGTATAAGTTAAATGATTTTGTTTCAAATAATTATGAATATCATTAAATTGATGACAAAACCACCTTCAAATAAACTTTTGATGATTCGATAAACGTTTGAACTGATTTAGCACCTAGGCTATGACAATGACGCTCAATATTTGACAAGTTTGTTATTATGGCTTCCTCCATGTTATACAGTCGATAAAATGTTATTAAAACTAGTCAATTTTTAAATAAGGCCAGTGTGTCATTTTGTTCATATATACATTTCTGTCCATATTTACTCTACATATACATATTTGTTTGCAAATATATGTGTTAACACTAATGTTATGTTTGTATTGCAGATTTATTTTATAATATATTAGGGTGTTCCTAAATATGGACATTTTCGAATTTCTTTGCTCTAAGGGGCTCAAATGCTTCCAAGTTGATAAAAAAAACATTCTCTAGAATGTTTAGCTCTTAATATTAACTTTTAGATAGAGCGCAATTCAATCAAAGCTCCGTGTGGGATTAGCATGGAAAAAATTTAAAAACATTTAAAAATGTTCTTTAGATATAACTTAGCGAACAGATGAATAAGTTTTATTGAAAATTCGACGCTCTATAAAATAAATTATAACTAGTTGGTATTGGTATTTAGCCTTGAGGCAAGTTACATAAACTTCCCGATATGTGTAAATAATCGATTTAATCAATAAAAATAAATTAATTTATGAGTGATTAAAAGTATTTCGAGTGGATTCATTACATATAATTGAAAACAAACGTCAAAATAACTCATTTTCTCAAACTTTGTTGAAGTTTTAAAATTAAACTACTTGTCGTAAGGTCGTAATATTTCAGTAAGTTCTATAAGACCAGGATATAAATCGCCAAAAAAAAGTTCCATAAAAATCGGCTTAATTTTTTTTTTCAACAGTTAATTACAAGAAAACGGCTCGATAGATTTTCAACTAAAACTAATCAGTATCATTCCCAACTAATATCTTTCGAACTGTTTTTCATTTTTGAAAATTGATTCGGTAGTATGAGCTTAAATGTGGACGACAAGTTTAACACTTTTTTTCAAATTACAAAGAAATGGCTTGGCCGATCGCTGCACAAAACTAAAAAAAAAATAATCCACATCAAAATACATCGATTGGCTTTTAAAATTTTTAAAAACGGTTCATGCGTTTTTGAGCAAACGTCGATGAAAGTTATAATTTTGACAAACGCCAAAAAAACGACACTAATTTTTGCAAACTTTGACGATTTTTTAAAATTAAACGACTTGTCGTAAAACCGTAATATTCTAGTATGATCTATAAGACTACCGTCAAAAAGAAATCATGAAAATCGTCGAAAAAAAAATTTTTAACACCTTATTACAAGAAAACGGCTCGGCTGATCTTTACCAAAAACTAATCAGGTCGATTCCCAACCAATATGTTTCGAACAGTTTTCGAATTGTCAAAATCGATTAAAATTGCGGGCTAAAACGTGGACGAAAAATTTTTCACTTTTCTGCGATTTACAAAGTAACGGCTCGGCCGATCGTCGCGCAAAACTTACACACGCTAGTCCTCATCGAGATACATCGAATGGCTTTTAAATTTTTGAAATCGGTCCAGCCGTTTTTGAGAAAACGTCGATTTACGGCAAAAAATCTGTTCACACACACCTTCACACATACTTTTTTCAAATTTGGTCTCATTCGATTCAGAACGGCTTGAAACGCCGAGAAAACATAAAATTAGCAATTCGGATTTTTTTATCAAAACATAAACTTCTCCTTCGGGAAGTTAAAAAACCTGTTTTGTAAAGCGTCGAATTTTTAATAAAACATGACATTAATTGTCACATTTGATTGACTTATCGCTAAGTTATATCTAAAACACATTTTTAAAATTTTAGAAAATTTTTCCATGCAAATTCCATACGAAACTTTGATTGAATTGCGCTCTATCTAAAAGTTAATATTAAGAGCTAAAACTTTCATCAATTTGGAACCATTTGAGCCCCTGGGAGCAAAGAAATTTGAAAATGTCCATATTAAAGACCACCAGAACACACACACACGTATATATATATATATATATATATATATATATATATATATATATATATTGATGAGTTATTTAGAATCGGGCAGTAACACCAAGTAAAGAAAAAAAAAAAAACTAAAGTAGTTTTGAAATACTTTATTTATCCATACGTTTCGGTCTTCATCGAGACCGTCATTCAGTGGAAAACTAAAAGATTTTATATGATGTAGGAGGAAAATAATATAAAGTTATAACTTATATATAAGTACTTACAGAAATTAATTATACAAAAATACACTACACCATTACACTGTGATAAACCAGGCTATTAATAATTCGAACATTTAAACTAATTCATTTTTTTGACAATTTTTTGCTTACATTCTAGTGTGTACAAATTGACTAACGTCTAAAAACTGAATGAATTGTGTTTACAATTTTTGCGAAAGTGTAAAAAGACCGGCAAACATATGTTTTTTTGTAAAATAATAAAATAATAAAAATACACGCTTCATTCAGATATGGTGGCGTTTTTGAAAATGGTCTAGGGTTATTTTATAGTCATTGCAAAGCGAATTGTTGTCAGTTCTTAAATTTATGGCTGTATCCTTGTGTAAAGATATTAAGCATCCTTCGCTAAATCGTCTTTTAAATAAATTATTTTCGAAATGTAGGATCGTGGGATTGGAAAAATCAATGTTATGTTTGAGTTGATTAATATGATCTGTTAATTGTATTTTATACTGATTTTTATTTTTAGAATTGTTTTTGTGTTGAGATGTTCTTTTGTGCAGGTTCTGACTAGTTTCACCTATGTAGACGCAATTACAATCTAGACAATTAAGCTTATAAACTAGATTACTTAAGATTTTTGGGTTAAATTTTGATTTTAACTTTGTAAAAAGAGTTGAAAAAGTGTTTTCGGAAGTACAAACTACCCTAATATTATTTTTATTGAAAAGTTTTCTCCACGGGTAATGTAATTCTTTAATGAAAGGTAAACTTATAGTTCCGACGTAGTTTTTAAGGTTTGGGTTATCAATTAAATTATTGTGACGGTTTTGGAGATATAAGATTCTATTTTTTGTTATGGATTGGATGAGGTGTTGTGGGCAGGAGTTTTTGGTTAGGATTTATGAAATGAGAGAGAGATTCTTTCTTAAAAATTTACTGTGTGATAATAATAATGTGTGGTCAATTAAGTTTATGATTGTGCCTATTTTGATAGAGAGGGGGTGGTAAGAGTGGTAATTAAGATAACGGCCTGAGTATGTTGGTTTGTGGTACCAATCAGTTATTATATTATTATTTTCGCGAAAGAGTTTTCGAGAAAGAGCAAAAATAATAATATAATAACTGATTGGTACCACAAACCAACATACTCAGGCCGTTATCTTAATTACCACTCTTACCACCCCCTCTCTATCAAAATAGGCACAATCATGAACTTAATTGACCACGCATTATTATTATCACACAGTAAATTTTTAAGAAAGAATCTCTCTCTCATTTCACAAATCCTAACCAAAAACTCCTGCCCACAACACCTCATCCAATCCATAACAAAAAATAGAATCTTATATCTCCAAAACCGTCACAATAATTTAATTGATAACCCAAACCTTGAAAACTACGTCGGAACTATAAGTTTACCTTTCATTAAAGAATTACATTACCCGTGGAGAAAACTTTTCAATAAAAATAATATTAGAGTAGTTTGTACTTCCGAAAACACTTTTTCAACTCTTTTTACGAAATTAAAATCAAAATTTAACCCAAAAATCTTAAGCTTAAGTCTAGATTGTAATTGCGTCTACATAGGTGAAACTAGTCAGAACCTGCACAAAAGAACATCTCAACACAAAAACAATTCTAAAAATAAAAATCAGTATAAAATACAATTAACAGATCATATTAATCAACTCAAACATAATATTGATTTTTCCAATCCCACGATCCTACATTTCGAAAATAATTTATTTAAAAGACGATTTAGCGAAGGATGCTTAATATCTTTACACAAGGATACAGCCATAAATTTAAGAACTGACAACAATTCGCTTTGCAATGACTATAAAATAACCCTAGACCATTTTCAAAAACGCCACCATATCTGAATGAAGCGTGTATTTTTATTATTTTATTATTTTACAAAAAACATATGTTTGCCGGTCTTTTTACACTTTCGCAAAAATTGTAAACACAATTCATTCAGTTTTCAGACGTTAGTCAATTTGTACACACTAGAATGTAAGCAAAAAATTGTCAAAAAAATTAATTAGTTTAAATGTTCCAATTATTAATAGCCTGGTTTATCACGGTGTAATAGTGTAGTGTATTTTTGTATAATTAATTTCTGTAAGTACTTATATATAAGTTATAACTTTATATTATTTTCCTCCTACATCATATAAAATCTTTTAGTTTTCCACTGAATGACGGTCTCGATGAAGACCGAAACGTATGGATAAATAAAGTATTTCAAAACTACTTTAGTTTTTTTTCTTTACTTGGTGTTACTGCCCGATTCTAAATAACTCATCAAAATATATGGTATATATATATATATATATATATATATATATATATATCTTATATATAAAATTCTTCTGTAACAATGTATGAATGGTTAATCCTCCTAAACTATTATTCGGATTTTCATAAATCTTCGTGAAGATTGTTAAGGGAATTTTCTAGGATTTTTTTATTCATAGATTGTAGAAAAAATTACAAAAAACCGCTTACCATTGTTTGAACTTGAAAATATTTAAGGCATAGTTTGACATTAAAAACAAATGAAGACGATGAAGACTGTCATTTGCCAAAGATTTCTATTCACTAAGGCAGTATTAAAATATAATAAATTCATGATTATAAATAAGGAAAATGTAATGTCTACATTATTGTTGCCAAAAAGCAGCTGAGATCTGCCAAAAATTAAAATAATATAAGATTTACAGTCAACATGCGTCTGACAGGTGATCCAGTCTGCGCATAATGTAGACATTACATTTTTCTTATTCATAATCATAAATATTTCTTAGCCTATAAGTGAATGGAAATGTTTGGCCAATGGCAGTCTTCATTTGTTTTTAATGTCAAACAATGCCTCAAATATTTTCAATGTCAATCAATAAGGTTTTTTTTTGTAATTTTCTACATTTATTTCTACAATCTAACTATATTTATATGAATCAAAAAATCCTAGAAAATTCTCTTAACAAACTTCACGAGGATTTATGAAAATCCGAATAATATTTTAGGAAGGTTAACCTTTCATACCCCATTACAGAAGAATTTTATATATAAAATATATATATATATATATATATATATATACATTAAATATTTTTGTTCGACGTTGAAACATATTCTTGAAATGTTTATTTGCAGCCAAATAGTCGAAATAAAAAACAATAAATAATTCTACTAAATAAAGTGTTTTACAATTCGTCAGTCATATAGCTGCTACATAATTTTCTTGTTTAACTTTTAGTTTGTAATATTTTATTATTCATAATTTTCTTGTTTAACTTTTTGCTTTGTTGTTTGAAACAATGTATTTAAAAAAATATCTTTTATGTTTATTCTTGGTTCGAATTTGTTAAACATGATGACACACAAACAGTGTCGAAACGTACTGAATAAATAGGTAATTATTTATTGTTCTTTTATTTGCTATTTACTGCATGTATATGTTGATGATTCATATTTAAAATACCAACCACACTTTTTGTGATTATTTAATTTATGATATAGAATTTGGTTATGACGAAAAATGTAACAAATAAAGGCTTTTTTAATTGAACTTTAATGTGTCTATAATTATTCAGGTCATTACCTACGTTAAATAATCCATCAGCTACATTAAACATATTTTTATTTTCCTGATTTTTCACATAATTATTAAATAACTATTTAAAGCCATTGATGATGATGCAATATATGTCAATTGGTATTTTTGTATGGATTAATTATTAGTTATTCAATACCAAATAAATTCATTTAATAAATCAATTTTGTTCACCAGACCCCAATCCTATTTAATTTATTATTTAATATTTGATTAAATGTGAAAGTTGGAATATTTACAAGATTGGTATTTAATTCAGCAAATGATAATTGTAACAACTATATCATAAATGATGATGTATTAAATCACATATAGGCCAGAAAGAGTTAGCTATTGAGTTGTATCGCAAAGGTATTGCTGAACTGGAACGTGGCATTGCTGTTGAATGTTGGGGAGGCCAAGGTGAAATATGGGAAAGAGCTCAAAGGTTGCACGAGAAAATGAAAACTAACTTGAGCATGGCACAAGATCGATTACAAATTTTAGGTAATTTTTCTGTTTCACCAAACATTTCTACATTGATTTTATTTTTCAATATTATTAAATTTACATAATATTTTTGTGCATCATATTAAATTTTGTGGACTTATACTTAAACCTTTTTTTCATTACTATTATAAATTATTTTTGCTTATCAAAATTCCAAGCAAGATAAGAAACAAGTGAATATTGATGAAGATTTTGAAAAAAAAATAGACATAGAGGTATTGAAAAAAAAATCCTAAATGAGTAAAACACTCGTTGTTTAAGACATATGTAAATATTCAACTTAATCGATAAAATATCTGTATTCTATTTTATAAGGTTTTTATAAGCATATTGATTTGCTGTAGAGAATTTTAATGCGGTAAATTATAACTATTGCAGATTATTCAATTCGGATAATTTTTTCGAACATGTTAGTTATTTTCGATAAATGGTTTAAATATTGCCCATGAAACTACTTGTCATAGGCCTCTGATTTTTTAATATGTTGATTAATACCTGGAACTTCATCGCCTATACAAGCCTTCTTTAAAATAGCTAGATATTTTTTTTAGCAATCAATGACGAAGAAGCGATTTGACTGATCCTTGCCAAAACCTAATCAGCATTGTTCTCAACTGATATATTGTATTTTCAAAATATTGAGATTTAGTTTACGAAAACGTGGGTGAAAAATTTTTCATTTATCAACTAATTTTTAAAAAAAGGCTCGGCCGATATCTTTGAAAAGCTAACTAATTTATCGTTAGTGTCATTTATATTTTCTAAAATCGTCTACAGAAGGTAAACCTAGGACTCTCAATATACACATTATTTTTAATATTCAAAGAAAAAAAAAAGGAAATTAAAACATAAAAATATATATTAAAAAAAATCTTTACCTAAAAGCAATCGTTTCCTCAAGACAAACAGTTAGTTTATTTAACTCCGTTTTCTTAAAAACTCGATTTTTTTTTCTGCGCTCTTTGCTTTGTATCTCCGAATCAGCTCGAGCTGCCTTTATCAAAAACTTATCAGCACATATCCCTATCTATTCTGATCTATCTAATAGGAATCGAATGTTTATTTAACCAAATAAACATATGCAAAAAAAATTCGATTTCTATTTTTTGACTATTACAATAACTTACCCCACGGGAAGTTAAAAAAGTAGGCAGTGTGGTCTTGTTATACTTGGTATTGAAGATGTTTTAATTTTTTTGCAATTTTTCTGGAAATATATTTATTTTCCAGGAATATATTATTTCGGTACACTTTCCAGCACTCGACGCTGAGTAGGGATAAGATCAAAGATGGTTTCCTGTTTATCTCATCAGTATGTCTCTGCCCGTAGTTTTGCTGTCTGTAGTTATTGATATTGATGTTAAGTTTTGCAGTTTTGTAAATTGCATTTGCAAGTTTATCCATAAAGACGGTATTATTATTGTATTTTGAAAGACTGCTGTTTTGTGAATGCTTCGGTGATTTAATCAATAATATACTGCTTTTTCATAATGGGCGTGCATCAGCTCTAATTTATTTTATGACAAAAAGGTTAAGAAATACTATCCGTACTACACTTTCAATACATGATCGTTAAATTAAGGTTTGCCTCAAATTGACGTCATTATGGAATAATTAATAATTTAAACCTATCAGCAGCACACACAATTCGATTGACAATCGATGAGTATAGCCAGAGCCGCTGAGCTAGGCATAGTATGCACATGTTATTCTTGAGATTCGCAGTTTTATGGAGAGCATGAGATGTTAAGCTTATATTTCTATAAACACAATTATATGTTCTGTTCAAAAAATACGAATGTTCATGCTTCGTTAGTGAATAAAGCGATGATCTTATGCTTTCCAACTCATGAGCACATCTGCAGTATTGTCAGTAGTAAAAATGCAGTATTGCACGTGGCATTTCGTCTTGATCATATATATGATTCTTTGAAGAGTAAAACAAAATATTTCAAAAATACTGAAATAGAAGACAAATTATTTGGATTCAGGTGATTTTAGACAAAGACTTATCGTCACTCGACGTTTAACATATCATACATAAATTCATCTCCATTGTGACAGATTTCTGAAAAAGTTCTACTGGAACTAAATATGGGCAAACAATTGCTTCCACATCCATGTGCAGAAGCACTATCAAAACAATTCTTAGATTTGCGCCGGAAAGGTTTCCATTGATAAAACCAGACTCTTAAAATTATTTTTGCGTAACCATTGCTTCGCAGGATTGTTTCACTGTACAAGTATTTACGGATGTGCCCCATCGACATTATATCACATAGACTGCTAGTCGAGCGCGTATAAAATGTAAAGAAATGTTTTCTGTTGCGAGGGTAAATGTGCCGCCGAGAAACATCAAGATAGATTAAATAAATGAATGCTTTGCGAGTATCGACATTAATCGATATAAAAAATCGTGGATATCTTTTATATCCTCATTCACTCGCCAACCGTCGTAGAGGTCGGATCGAAAAATCAAATTATAGTTGCGAGGGTAAATGTGCCGCCGAGAAACATCAAGATAGATTAAATAAATGAATGCTTTGCGAGTATCGACATCAATCGATATCAAAAATCGTGGATTTCTTTTATATCCTCATTCACCCGCCAACCGTCGTAGAGGTCGGATCGAAAAATCAAATTATAAACTAGTGCAGTGACGCCTGCAGTGTAGTGCTATTGACAAAATTTTTATTGTTGCAGTTCAAACGTGTGTTCCCTAGTGGGACATGCCCTGTTTGAGTTCGATAAAAATTATTTATAACAAATAAATTAAAGTGATGAACAATAACACGGTGAATATTATCGTATTGCTTAAGTGATATGTGTCACCCTGTCTACGGGCAGAAAAATGCAATCCAGTACGATGGAAACCAACCCAACGAACCCGGAGCGTGCGTTTCTAATGCTATACACACATTATATAACATTGATAACATAAATAATGAAGTTGCTTCTGTAATCGAAAACACAAGTGAAAAAAATCAGTAGATAACATAAAAACCAAACATAAAACCAGGATCAGTAAAAACACTGAAAAAAATATCAAAATTAACGCAGAAACAATTTCAAAAATAATAACAACAAACGCAATTCAAACAGTCGACACAAATAAAATCGGCAATAAATGAAGAAATTTGAATATTCCTTCAGTAATTAGAATGGAAAACGATATTATGATTTCATGCGATAACAATATTTTACATAATACGTGCGACTTCAAAACAACATCTACGTCTACCAGACTCGAATCAGGCAACGAGTGGACAATTGTAAACAACAGAAGATACAAAAACGATGATGCAGAGTGTTCTACTTCTACTACACCTCAAATGAAGACTAAGAAGGAATACTGGTTAAACACTACTTCAACCAATAATTACTACGAAGTTCTAAATATTTTGCCAGAACCGGCTGCCCCACAACCTGCTGAAATCAGGCCTCCACCAATATTCATACATGACGTTGGAAACACAAAGCCGCTTGTTAACCTTTTGGAAAGTGAAGCCCAAAACTCTTACAGATTAAAAATTATTAGTAACACCCAGGAGAAAGTCAACTTATATAATAGTCATCTTTATAACAAAATATTAAAACTCTTAAAGGAAAGACACTCAAATGCATCCATTCCAAGAAAAAAGCAAACGCTCTTTCAAAGCAATTATCAAAAATCTTAATCACAGCACCGACTAATATTTAATTAGGAATGACTAATTAGGAATATAAAGTAGTGAACATCTCACCTTTAAGAAGCAGAATATCGAAGTATCCACTTAATATTTTTACAGTGGACCTAGAAGAGAAAAGTAACAACAAAGATTTTTACAAGATTAAATTCTTATGCAGTACTAAAGTCGAAATAGAAGCCAAACGTTTTTCGCGAGTAATTGTACACTGCTCACGCTGCCAAAGATACGGCCACACCCACAATTATTGCTATCGGACTGCACGGTGTGTTAAATGTGCTGGAGAACACTACACCAAGAAATTTTCATGGAAAGACAAAATTAACAACCAAGTGTGTACTCTGTGTCAAAATCACCCCGCAAATTACAGTCGATGCCAAGTCTACAAGAAAGAGCTCAATCGGAAATTCCCTCCATTACGGCAGAGACTACAGCCAACTAATAATCCTAATATTAACAGAAATCCTACAGTAATTCATGGCTTATCTTACTCACGAGTCACTAGCCAAAACATAAACACAAATACAACACAAGAAATACTAAGCAACACAAATCAGATGATGGATAGTAATATCAATGATATCTATGAACTTAAAACCATGCTGAAAACATTAACCGAACAGATGGGCACTATGCTCAATCTTTTAATTACAATTTTAACAAAAACTAAATAATGTCTTTAGAACTTAAAGTTTGTTTATGGAACGCCAACGACTTGAGTCAGCATACTCAAGAACTCAAATACTTTCTCACAAACAATAATATAGATATTTTGCTAATTTTAGAGTTTTATACTTCAGAAAAGCATTTGCCACTTTTTCTAAACTACACCTTATAGTAGAAGTGCTAGTGAACTATTTGACTAACCTGCTTTCACAAAGCTAGAATTTTTTAATATTTCATTATCGGCCCATTAAGATTAAGTACCATTCTGGCAGTCATTCCGTGCCTGCGTCATCATCCCTTCAATTTTTGAAAATGTAAAATTAATTTTTTCATACCCAGCTCCCACAAGGCTCAAATTTTGAGGATGTATTATTTTAACTGTGTAGGAAAATTAACAGAAGAATAGTACGCTTAATAGTCAAGAAGATAAACTTAACGAAAAGGATGGCAGTCTAAATAATCAAATAACTCAGCTTACTGAAGAATTTGGAAAAATATAAGCTCAATTTGAACAAGAAAACAGTTATTTAGCTAGTCAAACAAGGAGCTTGAAGGGAAGAAAGTAGAGATTGGAAAGCTTATTGTTTTGTATGTCCGCATTTTTTCTTCCACGTTTTCGGGCGCGCAGATCAACCAATTTGAATG